CTCATCGACAGCTTATATGGGTGGCTGAACTACCAGATTGAGCACCATATGTTTCCAGACATGTCTTTGTTGCAGTACCGCAAGCTGCAGCCGTTGGTTCAGAGCATCTGCAAGAAGCATGGCGTCTTGTACGTGCAGCAGAACGCTCTGCGGCGTATGTGGCAGATGTTCCGCATTGCAGCAGGTGACGCGAAGATGATTAGGTGCACCGCCTTGATTCCTCCCAAGGTGGAGTCGGCAGGTGTGGCCGACAGCCCTTTGCTTGGCGGGTAGACCTTCACTGATGGATATGGCCGATAGTTCCTGCGGCTGATCACGCTGCGCACCCAGCAGTGCCTAACCCCAGGAAGTTTTTATTTTTCAGGAACCTTCCTCCCTGTTTCTCGGCGGGGACTAGACTCCACCCCTCCTCCTGCTCCTCCCCAGTCGTAGTCGTAACCGTTGTCGTCGTTGTTGCGCGGCGGGCGCCGCGGAGAAATAGTTATTTCTATTATTCGTGGGACCCCAGCCCGTCAACCAGGGCGTCGAAAGGATATGTCGTTTCCACTATTTTTGGGAGGGTTCTAAAGACCTGCAGCGGTTAGTGCGTGCGCGTAGTCCTTCATGGCGCTGCGGCTTGCTCCTGTAGCGGGGGAGAGAATGGAGGGGGTGCTCCTGCAAGGGGGAGACGTGTGGGGTGGGTTGGGGTGAGAGAAGTCGGAGAGGAAGTGGTATAGTTCAGTGCGTGCTCCTGTATGTGGAGGCGAGAATGGAGGGGTGGGGAGAGGGGGTGGGGGTGGATAACAATAATAATACTAGTAATATTTATATCCAGAAGAGCGCTACGCATATGGGAGCAAGAACATACGACTAGTAGTAGTAATCAGAAAAGTGCAATCATGCGAATCATACTACTAATACAAAACATAATAAACTAATAACATTAATAGCAAGAATAGTAGTACTACGAGTAAGACTGATAGTGATAATACTAGTACTAAAACACATATGGTTAATCATGCTAATAAGAAGGAAGAGGAGGCTCGGGCGTGACCGCCCTTTGAGATCTCCCGAGAGAAGCCAGCCAGGAACGCCAGAATACTCTGAGGCAGCCGAGGGAAGGACAGGACGCGTCGAGCGGCAGACACGTCGGAAGGACCCTCCCTCCTCCTTCCCCTTCTCCTCCTCCTCCCTCCTCCTCCTCCTCCTCCTCCTGCTCCTGCTCCTCCTCCTCCTCCCTCCCTCCCTCCCCTCCCCCTCCCCCTCCCCCTCCCCCCTCCCCCTCCCCTCCCCCTCCCCCTCCCCCCTCCCCCTCCCCTCCCCCTCCTCCTCCTCCTCCTCCTCCTCCTCCTCCCTCTCCCCCTCCTCCTCCTCCCCCTTCTACGAGCTGGACGGTGGTCTCCCGCCGTCCTCGCCGCCGGGCCCGTCTTGGCTTCCCTCGCGCCGCCCGGCCCCTCCTCTGGGAGGGGCCCCCGGCCGCGCAGGGGTCGCGGCCGCGCGCGGGGAGGCGGGCGATCGCAGATCAGGAGCGAAAGAAGGACGTACGCGTACATGAATCCACGCTGGTTTCGAGAGTACGCACTGCGGGAATGTTCGTATCACGCGGCGGGTCTCGCGGATCGAGGAGGGGCCGTGTTCGTGTACACAGTTGGGCGCGTACGTCTTCTAGCAGACATGGATCATTCTAGGCCTCCCAGATGGGGTCCGAGTGGACGGGATCGGAGGATCGCGCCGCATCGCCGATGCATCGACGATGCGGCTCGATGTGGCGGCCGTGTTTCCCCACGCCGGCGTCTTCGATGCATCGCCGATGTCGCCGATGCATCGCCGATGCATCGCCGATACATCGGCGATGCATTGGCGATGCGACGCGATCCTTCGACCCCATCTACTCGGACCCCAACTAGGAGGCCTCTAATCAAGGGGGCGTGGATTGTGCTCGTTTCCTTATTCATTGTTTCGCCGATCGGCGCGGGCCCTCGTACCCCCCCCTCCCTCCCTCCATGTAGTAGATCTTGGCTGTTTTGGGCGCCCATTTCGAGCAGGTGAACTCTCCCCCGTACGACGCACTGTTGCAAACAGTCGCATCAAGCAGAGGTCCGGAGCCAGTCCCCTCCCCCCCTCCCTCCCCTTTCGCCCAATGTCGAAACGCCGAATAAGAAAGCGCTCACATTAGCGACGGGTGCCGTTTCCATGGGACATCGCGGAGTCCCGCCGCCAAGCGGGGGCACCGGCCGCATTTTGGGGAGGGCGCGTCCCCCGATCCATGGTTTTGGCGACCGCGCGCCAAATCCGTGGATCGCTAGTCCATGTCTGCGCGCCCCCGAAGAAGGCATAGGGGGGAGGGGAAGAGCGAGAAGATGATCATCTTCCAGTAGCTCTTCCGCCTGACGTCTGGTCGGGCCTGGCATGCTCTTGCTTATAGTTTCTTCGCCGCGGACTGCCAGCTTCGCTTGCATCGAGGGCCTGGCTGGTAGGTCCTGCTGGTCCACAGGGCGACGCGTGAAGGCAACGCGTGAATTGCAATTCCGAGATTTATCTGTCTCGACAAGGTCGCCCCATCGGTGACGGCCCATCGGTGGGGCTGTTGCTCTCATTTAGGGGGCCACATGGGAACCCTGCCCCTGCCCCCCACGATTTCTGAGGCGGAGGGTGGGGTTCACTTCGTTCGGGAGCTCCCGAGCAAAGCGAACCCCACCCTCCCCCTCAGAAATCGCGGGGGGTAGGGGCAGGGTTCCCATGCGGCCCCCTATCATCTGCGCTCGAATTATGTTTCGCATCGGCCGGTGGGGCTTCTGGCGTTGGGCCTCTCCCACCCGCGCCATGCCGCAGCCATTTTGTGTTCTCCGCTGTCGGCTATCTATTGGCCGTCGGCCCATCCCGCCACCGCGCCCAGGCTGTAAGTCAGAGCCAGAGGGTGTTATGGCACAGAAGCGGTTAGCACTACACGCGCGCAGACGTGCCAGCGGGTGTCCGAAATAAAGAAGTCAGGTTAATACTGCCCATGCGCGCGTCAGCGGGAGCGCCTGCCTAATCCTGATTATGGCTTCCGCCCTTCCCTCCTGCTGCTTCTCCTCCCCCTCCTCCCCCTCCTCCTCCTCCTCCTCCTCCTCCTCCTCCTCCTCCTGTCTCAGGGTAAGTTGTTTCTCTTATGTGGCCCTTGCGCCCATTCATCCCGCAGAGGCTTCCAGAGCGTGAGGCAGCCGTCAGGCCGATCCGACTCCGCATTTTAGTGCCTATCATATCTTATTCTAACCTCCCCTCCTCTTCCTCCTCCTCCTCTCTCCTCCCTGCCTCCCTCCATCCCCCGCCGACGATGCGCATGTAAACAGAAAGCCATCCCTCCTCGCCTCCCTGCTCGCCTCCCCTTTCATCTGGTCCCCCCCCCTCCTCCTCGGTCCTTATTCGCTATTCTCGGTCCGTCCCCAGACCCCCGACACCATGCTTTTTCCATGACGTCGACCCCCCGAGGTCTCGACCCGTCCGCTGGGACCGGATTCTCGTCCCGAGCCGCTCTCCGACGGTCCAGGGTCCGGCGAGGGTCCCCAGACTCTCAGGAGGGGAGAAAACACACAGACACAAGTCATCGTCGATCTTCCAGAAAATATGGGAAAGTATGGGAAGTGTGGGGGAAGACAGAAACCCATACAATGTGGGGAGATATGGAGCATCCCGTTATTAGTGTCTACTTACTGGTGTGTCCCAGGGTCCCTTCAAGGGTGTCTGGGCCTGTTGACCACACCAGACCAGCTCGTGCCCCCCTCGCCCCCGCAGGGCCCGCTTGGATCCTGTCGATGCGACTCGGCACCGATTCTGGCTGGCCCGATCCGCTTCGATGCCGGCATTCCAGCGATCCGATGCGGCCCGAGAAGTCTGGCTCTCAGAGCTAAGGGGGCTGGTGCAAAGGGGCCTTCTCCGGGGCCACCCGCCCTGCAAAGACCTCGCCGAAACACCCCCCGCCACGCCCCCCGCCACGGCCCCCACCGCGCCCCCCACCGCTCCCCCCACTGCGTCCCCTCCACGCCCCCGCCGCGCCTGACACCGCCAGCCCCCTGGCTCCCCACCCTGCAAAAACCTCGCCAGCACCCGCCACCGCGCCCCCCACCGCGCCCCCCACCACGCCACCCACCACCCTCCCACCACGCCCCCCACCACGCCCCCCACCACGCCCCCGCCGCGCCTGACACCGCCAGCCATGGTGCCGTTGTGCACTCTGCCGCAGCCGATTCGGTTCGATTCCGACTCCGTGTCGACGTGAGCCGTTCCGACGCATGTTCCGATTCGATCCGAGTTTCCGATTCGATGCTGACTGTTCTTCGGACGGGGCTAGGACGAGGGTTAATCCGTTCCTGAGCGTTCCAGAACGCTCTCAGAGCGTTCTGGAACGCCCTGAGAAGGCCGCGACGCCTAATACATCCTCCAGAACCGCTGGCCAGTGCCGCCGACCCTGAAGGGGGACGGCGACGACGACGGCGGCGGTGGCGGCGGCAGCGGCGACGACGACGACGCTGACGCTCCAGAGCCTTTCTTGGGGCTCTCTTGGGACCCTCTTGGGCTCTGTTGGGGCTTGGGCTGGGGCCGCGGCTGGGGCTCACCCGACTTTATCCTCGTCCTGGCTTCGTCTTAGTTCAGGCGATCGCAAACATGGATCAAGCGGGCATGGATTAGCGACGTGTCCCGTTTCCATCGGAAATCGCCGATTCCCGCCGCCGAGCGAGGCGGCGCCGGCCGGGCCGCATTTTGGGGAGGGCGCCTCCCCCGATCCATGGATTTGGCGACCGCGCGCCAAATCCATGGATCGCTAGTCCATGTTTGCGCGCCCCCGAAGAAGGCCTGGGGGGAGGGGAAGAGCGGGAAGATGATCATCTTCCAGTAGCTCTTCCGCCTGACATCTGTTCCTGCCCCGCCGCCAGTGCGAGCACGGCGTGTGGCTCTCCGCCGCCAACGTGCTCCTGCTGGCGACGGCCCAGCTGCCGCTGCCGGCGAGGGTGCTGGGGCCGCTGCTGGAGCGCCTCTCGGAGGCGGTGGGGGGCAGGGGGGGTGGGCAGGAGGGGGACAGGAGGAGGAGGAGGGGAGGATGGAATCGGAGGAGAATGGGGAGAAACATGTGGGAGGAGGAGGAGGAGGAGGAGGAGGAGGAGGAGGAGGAGGAGGAGGAGGAGGAGGAGGAGGAGGAGGAGGAGGAGGAGGAGGAGGAGGAGGAGGAGGAGGAGAAGGAGAAGGAGGAGGGGGAGGGGGAGGAGGAGGAGGTAATCTAGGATAATATAATATCACAACAAACCGCATACGCTACAAGATAAGAAGCAGGCGGGAAACGTCAAGGCCGTCTACCGCGAGGGTAAAGCTAAACATATCAGAGGAGGACGGGCCAGGCCTCATCCCCCTCCGCCGCGGCGGGCCCCGCCCGCCTCTTTGTCTTTGGAGCGGGCGCGGGTCTCCGTGATCCAGTGCTCGAGCGAGCTTGGGCTGACGCCGAACCTCGTGAGGAGCCGACCTGGCGTCCAACTCGACATCCAGGGCGGCCCGGGACGGAAGACGGCCCTCGCTGCCGACGGGGCGGGGGGCCGAGGACGAGACGACAAGACCCAAGAGGCGAGCGAGGTCAGGTCCGAGTGGGAGGGCAGCTCGGGCTCGCCCGAACTCCAGCCATCGCGCCTGGAGAGCCACCTGGGGAGTCGCCGCTGCTGGATTCGCCTCCTCTGCGGGCGAAGGCCCGAACCCGCCGCAGCGGGCACACACGGCTGAGCCAGCGCACGGACGGCCCCCCAGGCAAAGGCTCCACAGGACAGGCTCTCGGATTCGTCGGCCCCCAGTCGGCGTGCTCTCGGGTAAGAGCTGCACCGATGGATCGGCGTTGCTACCCACGGAGCCGATGCTTCGTCGTGCGGGCTGGCCCGTGTGTCGGCGCGGACGACTCGGGAGCTGTGATTGCCGCGGCCTTCGGGCCAGTGCCCTGGGATTTCGCTCCTTTCCAGTCCGCCAAGGACGGAGAGGACTGCGCGTTTCTTATGCTCCGTCATACTGCGTTCGGGGTGGAAGGGGTTTGGGCCAGGGCTGGACCTAAACGCTGTCTTGCTGGACTTCGGCTGTGTTTTGTTTTTCTGGTTGGCAGGGAGGTACAGGACAACAGTGATGGGCTTATTTTCCACCACCACCACCACCACCATAAGTTGGAGGGGGAAGGAGGAGGAGGAGGAGGAGGACGAGGAGGAGGAGGAGAACGAGGTGGAGGAGGACCCCCCCACCTCCAACTGATGGTGGTGGTGGTGGTGGTGGTGGTGGTGGTGGAAAACAGGCTCATCAAACAGGTCGAGCAACACGAACAACACAGCGAAGGCAACACGAAACACAACGCTTGGGTGCAGCCCCGGTTTGGGCCGACTGGTGCCGCCACGGTCGACTGCGCCAGGTCTCGGCCCCGAGCGACGGCCTCTCGGAATCCCCAGGCCCGCATGTGTCAGGAGGGAAAGAAACACACAGACACAATGAATCGTCGATTCCCCGGAAAATATGTGAAAATATGGGAAGTGGGGGGAAGACAAAAACCCAGAAACTATAGAAACATATGGGGAATCCGGTTATTTGTGTCCATTCATTGATGTGTCCCAGTTCCCCTTCAATGCGGTCCCAGGCCCACACTTCCTTTGAGGAGGGCTTGGCTGTGCAGAGCATCAAGTCGGGCGTGTCCCTCTACAGGAGGAACATTCAGGAATAATCCAAACATCGTCTGGGGACGATATTTGGATTTTTTTGGCTGTTTTTGAATGTTTTTGGGGATATTCTCAATCCTTCGTCCAGGATCCGCCTGTAGGAGGACATGCCCGACCTAAGCATAAAACCCGTGACACGAGCGAGGGGGATGTGGGGCGGGCGTTGACCACTCGGAGGGAAAGGAACGCGACTGCCATCGTAGATGCCCTGGCCAAACGTGGTGCTGGCCAGCATCCGTGCGTGCAGCGAGCGGCAGAGCAGATCCTTGGCCGTGCGTTGTTGGGTCGGGAGGTGGGCCAGTGGGTTGGGCGTGACTCTCGTGGGTGCCCGCCGCGCTGGCGACGCACTCACCAAATTGCCCCCTTGCGAGGGCGACGTGCAAGTTCGAGAGGACGGCTGGCCTTTTCGGCGGCCGACGCACGGGCGGCGCACGGGCGACGAATGCGCGACGCACCTCTTGTCGCGAAGGGTGGGGGGGGGGTCAGCACGCCAGTCGTCTTACTGGGCCTTAACAGGCGTGAGGGTGTTCTGATGAGGGAGCGGGACGGGTGGGACCCTGAGGGGCTCCCCGAGGCGGCCGCTCGAGGGACTCGGACGGTGCGGCCTCGCAGGCCGCCCGCGCCGCCCACGGGTCCCTCCGGCTCGCGGGCGTGCTTTCGGAAGTTGCCCAGGGCCCCCGGGACCCCGAGCTCGGTCTGCTCTGCCAGCTGACGGCTTACCGTCTTCGAGTGTGCACGGTCTTCGACGCCGACGGTGCGTCGGTGCTCGCGGAGGAAGAGTAAGAGGACTAGGAAGACGAGGAGGAGGAGGGCGTGGGAGGAGGAGGAGGAAGAGGACGAGGGGGATGAGGAGGAGGAGGAGGAGAAGAGGGAGGGAACGTCTGAGCTCAGGTTCTCCCAGCCGTCACGGCACATCTGAAAACATCTGAAACGTCGGCTTCGCGCAGGCCTTGCGGAGCAGTGGACTCCGCCCGTCGCGACGTGCGAGGATGCTGCTGATGTTGATGTAGTTGCTGATTATGTTGATGATGCTGATAATGCTGATGATGCTGATGGTGATGATGGTGATGATACCGACTATTATTATGATGACGATGAGGATGCTGATGATGCTGATGGTGCTGATGCTGATGCTAAAGCTGTTGATGACGATGACGATGTGGCTAGTGATGGTGATGATGCTACTGATGCTGACGATGTTGCTGCCTGCGATGACGATGATTCGGATGATGACGAGGGTGATGGTGATGATTATGAGGATGATCATGATGATGGTGATGCCGATGTTGCTGATGATGCTGATGGCGACGGTGCTGATGATGGTGATGATGGTGATGATGACGATGGCGATGATGCTCATGATGTTGCTGGTGATATGATGCGACTGCTGATATTGAGGCTGACGCTGGTCATGCTGATCATGATGGTTATGCTGCTTATGACGATGTTGGTGATGATGATGCTGATGGTGACGATGGTGCTGATGGTAACGATGTTGGTGACGCTGATGATGATGCTGCTGATGGTGATGAGGATGCCGACGATGATGCTGAAGATGATGAAGATGATGGCTGATTATAATTTTTCTCCAAATAGGTTTGCCCTGTAGGAGTCCTAGCTCATCATGCGTAATTTGTCTTTAGCACCCCCTTTTTCCAATGACCCCCCCCTTTTTTCAATGCCCCATTTTTTTCAATGGCACTTGCTTGCTTGCTCTTGCGTGCTTGCTCTTGCGTGCTTGCTCTCGCTTGCTTGCTCTTGCTTGCCCTTGCTTGCTTGCACTTGTTCGCTGTCTCTTGCTTGCTTGGTATTGCTCGTTTGCGCCTGCTGGCTTCCGCTGGCTTTCTTGCGCTTGCTTGATTTTGCTCCTCCCGTGCTCCTCCCGTCCTGCTCCTGTCCTCCTGTCTTCCTCCTCCCATCCTCCTCTCGTCCTCCCCCTGTCCCCCTATCTATTTGGAGCCAACGCTGGCTGATATGATTATGATGCAGATGACGACGATGATGCTGATGATGCTGCCGCTGCCGATGATGATGACGATGCTGTGGCCGATGATAATGCTGCTGCTGCTGATGATGATGATGATGATGATGATGCTGCTGATGCTGATGCTGACGCTGATGCTGATGCTGATGCTGCTGCTGCTGATGATGCTGATGATGATGGTGAGGGTGAGTGATGGTGATGGCGATGGTGATGATGATGGTGATGATGATGCTGATGAGAATGACTACGACGATACTGATGCTGATGCTGATGCTGATGCTGATGATGATGGTGATGATGATGATGATGATGATGATGATGATGATGATGATGATGGTGATGGTGATGGTGATGGTGATGGTGATGGTGATAGTGATGGTGGTGGTGATGATGATGATGATGATGCTGATGATTATGATGGTGATGATGATGATGAGGAGGAGGAGGAGGAGGAGGAGGAGGAGGAGGAGGAGGATGCTGATGATGCTGATTATGCTGATGCTGCTGCTGCTGCTGCTGATGATGATGATGATGATGATGATGATGATGATGATGATGATTATGATGATGATGCTGATGATCAGGAGGATGGGGAGGAGGAGGAGGAGGAGGATGCGGCCAGGCATCCCCTCTTCATTTCAAGCCTTTTTGTTTTCCTGTGCCAGCCTGCCTGCTCTGAGTCGGTACCTTGCCAGGATAGACGCTTCGATGGAGTGGTCAGCGTCCGTGCAACGTCGAATGTACGTAGGGCGTCGATCTTCGGACGACCCCGCCTGCAGCATCGAGGCACCGAGGAGGAGGGCGAGGAGAAGGGGGAGTGATGCGAGGGAGAATGACAAGCTAGGTGCGCAGGTGCGTTCACGCCATGTCTGGCACCCTACCCCTCCCACCCATCCCTTCCCGCTTCGCTGAATTCTCTCCTGTCCGCGGGCTTGGATGTCGAGACGACCTTGATCCCCAAAATGAGCACACCGTTGGGTACGCCATCAGAAATGGGGGCCCTGTACTTTGGACCAGGGGGAGGAGGCTGCGGATGATCAGGAGGCAGGGTGGCGCGGGGAGAAGGAGCGCGGAACGGTAGCGACGGAGCAGCGACTCGGATCCAGAAGTGGGCCCGCGCTGGGACCAGAGCGAGAACGGGAACCACGGGAGCAAAGCGTGGACCTTGAAGTTCGGTAAGCGCTGCAACGGACAGCTTCCTGGAAGGACCGCGCGCGAACCGTTAACACAAATTCAGGGCACCTCAAGTTTAGACCCTGTGATTGGAATAGACGAAGTGCGGAAAGGGGGTGCCCCCGCACTACACAGCATCAGGGGAGATGATAAT